ATTTTTTATTATATTTATAGATAGAACAGGCATTACAGAGACGTCAATCTCTGAAGCTAAATAAATTTGCCATTATAGGTTTATGAAAGTTTGGAATGAAATAACTAAAAGCTTAAAATCTTTACTCTTCTATGAGCAGCCCATAGTTCATAGATATAAATCCAAGCTGCCCTGATCTCTTTTAGTCAAGATCTTGTCATGCGATATTCGTAAGGAAGATCATTACTGACATTGATTACGTAAATACAGAAAGGATTGTTGTCTTATTTATCAGAACATAACACGCACAAGAATTAAGTATGTTATCCGAGAAAATGCATACATAATCCAATAATTAAATCGATTAATCGTAGCTTACGAAGGAAGAAAGATTTTGTCTATAATAATATCCGGTATGCGGAGACATTGATAAATAAATAAGACTTCTATACGCTAGTATACACAATCGAATTGCTTTTAAAGGAATCCGTGAATATAATGACAGCTATTTAGGCAGTTACTTATTGTTGGCTAATATATCTTAGGTTAGTCAATAGTTTAAGATTTCGTAGTATCTTCATTCGCTTTTTTGATTTCTTGTTCCATTCTGTATAATCGTTGGAAGACATCCGATCGAAAGTCGGTGAACTTATCTGACATGTCTTTGATTCTACAATCGCGTTTGAAGACATAATAATTAGTAATAGCATAAGTTCGATATAAGATCTGATATTGTAGTTCGTTTGATAGCTGTTGTAAGATATGGCTCATCTTATAAACTACCTATAGCTGTCACAAGAGCAATTCCTTTACTTACTCTAAGTGTTGCTCTCTTAACTCTTCCAACATGGTGATGGTTTTGCATTTTGCAGCTGCATTCTCGGTAGGAACTTGCAGTTGAACACCTTCAGTTAACTTTTCCCATTCATACTAAAGAAACAATAAAATATCTATTAAATATCATACTAAGTTATGATGGTCCTATGTAGAAAAAATTAGTCACGTGCAATAGCTATATATAGTTAATATCCTCAACCTTTTCTCTTAGTTTTATCTTCTGATGTTTTCGAAGAACTAATGCTGACCGAGAAAAATAAACTCGCAGCCATTTCGGTAAATGACATGTTCTGACATCGCTAATGTAGGAAAGATCCATCTGAATTAAACTGATATCGGCATTTGATCTGACTTCATTTATATCTCCTACAGCCAAACCGACCTTAAATACGACAGGGCATCATTATTAAATCAATTAAATCGAAAAAAATATTGGTAATAAGTAGAATTAAAAATAACTCAATATCGACATACCAATAAATTGGCAAAGGCAATGTTAATAACTATCACAAAGAGGACAATGATGATCAAGGCTAAACTGGAGTGTTGCAGTTGATTGGTGTCGTATAAATGTTGGAATGTTTCGCGGTAGCTAATATCTCCCACCATCATGGTTAGAACACGTATAAACGCATATCCGAATTCGCTGAACTCCGGCTATAAACGTAATTAATGTTAATGATAGATTTTGCAATATGTAAAATTGCTACTACTTACCAGCTGTCTTAAAACCATATAGCATGCAATGGCAAAGGCGGTTAAAAATAGAATAATGACTAGTGAAGCTCGAATAATTGTCTTCATGATGGTAAGAAACATGGTCAAATATAATCCGATACCGAACGCCCTGTATTAGTTTTATGTAAGAAAATTGATAAAGTTTCCATTAGTTCATTGAAGAATTTAATAACTTCGTATCAGTTTTAAATGAATAGAATTGACTTCATCTAATGTCACCCATTTCGAAAATATCGTAGACTAGATGTAGCGCGTACCTAGCTATTCACTTAAACTTGTATACTAGTAAGCTATGCACATTCACTGGGTTTCTGCGAGTTATAAAGTGCTTATGATACGCGTTTATATTCTACATTAGATAGTGGTATCTATTAGGTAACGAAAGTTTCTGCACAAAATAGATACTACACTGGTTAATAGGAAAATTGAAATGAAATTTATCCATCTATCTGGGTTTTTCTTAACGGAAAATAATGATGCGCGATCGTAACATTCTGTTTAATGGTGACAGCTAGCACGAAATATTTACTTTCTCTACTTATTAACACATTTTTAAATTGATTCACGATAATGATCAATACGATTTAAGCTTAACAATATTAAGCAGAATTCTATTCAAGCCTTACCTTTTCAGGTGCACTAGAAAGTTGATTATGGAGAGGAAAATAATTAGAGCTCCCATCTGAACTGTGAAATTCGTTGTTGGCCGTTCAAAGGGGATACAATACAACAGAACTAATAATTCGACTCCAATTTCCAGTATGGAAGTTCCAGTGTCGTTAATTATTCCGATTTGTTTAAGCTTCCTGGGCTAGAATAGACGATACAGAACTGTCATTTAAATTATTGCTGAAACAGATTATGTTACATCTAAATCAATTAAAAACTGTGATTAACGTATTTGTTAAGCCTAATGACAAATTTAAGGCTTGGTCATGCTCAGATAAATGTCAAACACCACGTAGTAAATCATTGTCCAATATTAATTTATAAACTAACCTGGAAAAGATATTTGGTTAAATTGATGAAAATATTAAATACCACGGCACAAAAAGTAACAATATTTCTTGTATAGACTGCCTCCGAATACTAATTATCGGCAATCAATGTTTTCATCCAAATGGTCCAGATATATCCCAAATTATAGATCAAAAGAATAATAGGCATCAACATGAGATTAGATACGTGATTTCACTCAGAAGTAACTACATCTACGGGATTAGAAGCTAATAAAAATATAGCTGAAGTGCATTAATACTAAAAAAATTTACTTTATACCTGCGCCACTACTGCTGCTCCAACAGCGTTGCTTGCAGTTTGATTACGGACAGCTTCATAATAATTCCCAATATTCAGGCTAACTGGTACGCAAACAGCCAACAGAAACACTAGATTGACGAAAACTTTTCCATAATAGAGATATCGTAGTAGGGAATTCCTAAATTGATGAATAATTTTTGTATTATCGTTAATGTGTATAAGAGAGTTTTATTTTAATTAGATATTGAATTTAACTCTAGCAGAATCATGAGTATAAATTTACACTCATCCTTAATACCATTTATAGTGTCGATAAGCCCGAATGAGGGGGTGCTTCATTAATTTGATCCTGTTATGCGAAAGGATACTCTAATAGAGCAATAGTAAATGCCTTATAAGGAACAAGTTGGTCGCAGTCGATTGCGTGCGCACAAATTACTCTTTGCCCTAAGGATTAAGTTCCCTGAGGCTGTTTATTAAGACTCGTACCGATGCTGCTAAATAACCATCATCAACTTTTTTATGCCTGGTTTGAAATGGAGGAGTTTCCAAATAGGCAAAGTTGAAAAGAATCTAAAAAAGTTTTGATTAAAATGATTGTGATCATTTATTAGATCTCTAATAATACATATTCAGGTTTACCACTAGTATAATTTGTCGACTAGATTATTTACAATATAACGATATTACCCTATTAGCTTTTAGCTGTTATCTCATCCATTTATTTATCTAGAATCTTATATTAATGTGATGTTGAAGATAATCGCTTTCGACAACGTCATTATCTAACCTCTTCTTCCTTGGACTCTCCAATTTCATTGGTATATGTTACACATCGATCCATAACAGCCTGCAATAGATTAGAGAGTACCATACTGCGATTGAGAATGTAATTCATACTTTCCTCTTCTACAAGTGCTACATATAAGTTTTAAGAACTGAAACACTTTCAAGGATTATTATAAGATTCTGAATTGTGATATAGTTACTAAAGTCTTTAAAATAATCACTGTTATCGATTACTTTCTTTCTTAAAGCAAGAGCATTCAGGTAAGAAAAGTGATAAAATAGCATCTGTTAATGTAGCTAAATAAATATACTATGAAATATAATGAGTGTAAATATACGTACTAGACCACAAATGCTTCTACTATTATTTACGGCCTATAAAAAAACATATCACAATTTATACTTACACTAGCGACAGCAGGAAGCTTCTCGATAAGTCTCTTCATTGGTGTTTGCCCATCAAATTCTCTGTTTTCAAGAACTTTTTCCCAACTAGGAGTACAAAATTAAGTTAGACCTCAGAACAAATTTTCCGATAGCAATATTCTAATTACGGTAGTAGCTACGGCAAATTAAGAAAACGATAAAGTCAAGAAAAGTAAATAAGCTCCTAAAAGATTAAAATATCAAATTTCGAATCTTACTATTTACTACTGATAATTTGTAGTCCAATTTCGGCATGCTCGTTTTCGATCGCTATGTCTAAACAATTTTGACCCTGATTATTGATCGTGGTTGGGTCGGCTCCGCTTGCTAATAATATTTTGGTTACTTCTTGATGTCCATTAGCAGATGCTAAATGTAGGGGTGTATTCTTCCAGATTAAAAGTAAATTAATTGTATTAGGAATTTTAGTTATTTTAAACAGCAATGTAAATTTAGGAAAAGTGAAAATATAAAGAGTATTGCAGTTTTGATATGATGCCATTCTCTCAGTACGAACTACCTAAATTATTATGTTTCAATATTGAATATCTGCTAATCTTAGATTGTCTATATTATTTCATGAATAAAGATTATATTTACGTAATAGAATTTAATGTCTTTTACATTATAAATGTAAATTACAATGACGAAATAATTCTATTCCATGCGACACCAGATACAAAATCAATGAACTTATATTAACTACTGTATTAATCGAAACTGACCACCATATTTTGATTGCTATGAGTACTTACATCGGAACGATCTAAGACGTTAATTTTAACATTTTTAGAGACTAAAAGCTGGACTACCGCGTTAAATCCACCTTTAGCGGCATAATGTAGAGGATAGTAGGAATAAATATCCCTATTTAATAAAAAAATTATGATTATTAGCTTGATTCAAGCGTCATCGGCCAAAATGGTAGGCCAGATGATCTATCAAACGCCCTTATTTCAATTCTTGACTTCTTACTTGCTGTTAATATCAGCACCGTTTCTAATCATATTGTGAACGACACGATTATGGCCATATTTAGCGGCAATATGAATAGGCTTTTGACCGAACGTGTTTCTAACGTTGATATCTTTTGTTTTGATGTCTTCCAGAATATGCTTAATTGTATCGCGATGATTGCCTTTAGCTGCTAAATGCAACAAGGTATTTCCTTCTTCATCCAAGATGTGCGGAGATGCACCATTTTGGACTAAATAATATACTGCCTATAATTTTTAAAAGAAAATGAACAAACTCATCAGATATATTCGCATACACTAATGCTAATCGAAATATAAGTGGCCTTGCCATTTACTTGGGTGTTGTGTCTAATATTGTATCTAAAGAATTCTATTAATTGACCAGCAATAATGAACTGATTTATAACTTAAAGGGTAATAGTATAGAGATATACTGTTACGAAGCTTACTCCAATAGTTCCTGCTAAAGCTGCAAGGCGTAGTGGTACAATGCCTTTGTTATCAGGACGATCTATTAGTTGCTTTCCTCCATTCTATTTAATAAAATTATAGTTCAAAATGTTAAAGGTAAAATGATATCTGTGCATGTAAATGCTGTAAGCTTACTTCTAGCAAAATCAACAAGGTGTTCAAATCAGCTTGCTCAGCTAGATAATGCAAACAATGTCGACCATTAGAGTCTGTAGCCGTAATATCAGCCCCTAATTCAAGCAATTTCTTGACAGCAGATGAACACCCTTTATAAACAGCTGAAAGTAATGGTGTATGTTCTTTGTTATCGCGAACTTCAATATCTGCTCCCTGTATGAAATGAATTGATGAAGTTTAATTATGATCTTACGATATTGACCCTACAAGAAGCAAAAGTCATGCAATTGAGACCTTCTTAACAAGCATCGGCGAACATACCTGCTGGATCATGAGCCCAATTAAAGGAAGATTATTACTCAAAGCTGCATAGTGCAGGCATGTTTTTCCTTCATTGTCTTTTGAGTTGATTTTAGCTCCTCTATTTGTGAGAAACTCGGCAAATTCGTAATTGCCATTCATAGCCGCAATGTGAAAAGGTGTTAATAGTTCATACTAGATAAAATAAGCAAGTATTCAATATATAGCGAAAGAACTACAAAGATAACTTTGTTTATCAATAAACGCCAACAAACTATATTATACTATCGTACAAAATATGCGATACATCGTATCAGCAATATCGCCATAAACAAAAAACTATGATTGGATTTACTGTTTGAGCTTCGATATCCGCGTTATATTTCAAACAAACTTCTGCTGCCTAACGAGATGAATAGATGCAATTTTTCATATTGATTCCGGTTCCATATTCCATTTAGGTTAAATTTTCATTATCTTCGAATTAAATCAAATGCAATAAGATGCTTTGTAAACTTACCGCGATAGAACCAACATCTGCTGCTACATGAAGAGCTGTGCCTCCCTCATTATTAGATATCATTATATAGTCGTTCTGTCCCTTAATTTTGGCTATAAGTAAATGGTTCCAAAATCCAGTTGTACATAAACTATTGCGTATAACGCATATTTTCATCAAATTTATGAATATATTCAACTTACCGTATTGCAGTAGATGCTCTAAAATAGAAGTATCTTTACGTTCAGCCGCAAAATGAGAAGGCAATCGACCGTTAATGTTCTTTTTTACTATACTTGCGCCATATTTTAGCTACATGACGAGTAGTTCGTCAAACGGGTTGAATATGTTTAGCTAAGAAAGACTGTTAATTTAATGCGATACTGTCTATACTAATTAACTACAAATCTGTTACCAAATACTTTTAGGCTTACCAAAATATCAATCATCCTCTCCTTATTATATAAAGCAGCAAAATGGATAGGATAGTAGGATTCATTATCAGGGTGGTTAACTATCTTTCCAGTAATATTGAGTTTTTCAGCTTCTCTTAGAATGATCTAGTTCATATACGATATGCAAATAAATCAATTTTAACATATGCAAAATAGGACAATAATAGCGATATGTTACTTCAGTGGCGATTTTAAATGTAGTCTAAAAATAAAAAAGTGATTCCTGGAACAGATTTATGCTGGTTATTGCAGTTCAAGAGAATAATTATTATTACAATATCGTAATACCTCGGCGACTCCCTCACTTCCGTATTTACAGCAAAAATGCAAAGGACCTTCTTTCGCTTTAGAATTACCACAAAGCTTTGCGCCAAACTGAATTAGAGTTTGAGCTGCCTTGGTACAATTATGCTGGGCGGCGACATGGAGAGGAGCAATGCCATCTCTGCCACTTTTACTGTTAACATCTAAATAATAAAAAAACAATTGTAGGCAATATTAACTGGATGACAATCATACAAGGTTAGATAAAGATATTAATAAGCTTACTCTTAGAGATAAATCTGTAGCTATTGTAATTTATAAAATATGTATACCATTAAATATGAAAAATTACCTGCGCCGGAGCCAATCAAGCAAGTAATAACATCGGATCGATTATATCTTGCAGCATAATGCATAAAAGTAAATGAATTCTCTTTATCAACTGAGTTGATTTTATCACGGTAGTAGTTGAGAGCAAGTAGATTTTCTATTTCTTCTATTGAGCTCTTTTTGATTGCCTGTTAATTTATGTAAAATTTATATGAATTAGTACGATGAATTAATATCTTTTGTAATTCGTTATGGTAACGATCTGGTACCAAGTTTAGTAGTAACGTGGATTGGATGTAGCTTGAAAATATGATTTGAAACTCTTTAGTAAGCTAATTATAACGCAGTTGAAACACCATGTTAATTTAGATCGATAACTCAGATATTTTAGTTCCTTGCAAGGTTAATGTCTTTGCTTTTAACTCTTTGCAAAAAACTCAGACTGACTTTATCATTAAATAAACAAACTAATGACAAAAAAATTAAAGATTGAAGCGTGAAATATTCCTATTCCTTAACTTGCACGGGTAGTCTAGAATACTCTGATAAGCAGATTTCGCTAAACTATCTTAAAGTTAACTATCCAGATTAATAGCCATTCAAAATTACAATATACACTTGGTGATGACTCTCTCCCTGTTAATAAATTTTATTTATCGGTTTACCTATTACTAAATTTTTAACGCGAATGGGACAAATGAAGCTTTAACCGCTGTATCTCACTTAATTAATTAAGCGATATGGCAGATTTCAACTATGTATTTTAGAAGTAAATTTACGAAAAGAATTAGGACAACAATATAAATAGATATAGTAAAGGAATATGGAGACAGTAAAAATGAATTAACTTTTAATCTTATTCGTAATGAAATCATGATGTTACTGCACGGTTTGGGGGAAGGAAAAATTCAAGACTTACATTGATCAAATTCATAAATCTAATATAATTAATTAGAGAATCATTAACAATATTTATAATATCGGTCTTAGGATCAATCCTCTACATTTAGCTTCCTCACGCATAGGATGGAAAGTTCATTATATTATTAGCTAATTACTGATAGCAGTATCACAAACAATTCTCATTATGTCTTCAATAGATTGTCAATTTAAACTAAACAACCCCTAAAGACAGCATTAAGACAGCATAAGTTATGTCGTACTTGCCTATTTCTTTAGGGAAAGATGCCCCCCCCACAATCATTTGCTATCACTTCGTCAGGCAGCAAAACTTGATCTTTACCCAAATTTTAAACTACTTTAAATATAAATCAGCTATTTTAAAATGATACGAGTAATAGCTGCATTGCATTCTTTCTAAAATAACTATTGTAGTATTATAATTGAGACCGAAAAGAAACAATTAGCCAACTAGTTAGCGCCACTAATCTAGACCACCTGTCTATTTTTATTGACATCATTTCCAGACATAGGTCAGTTGCAGCAGTTCTGCTATTAAAATGTCATAACTTTGTGCTTCAGCCTATAAAATTTAATTGATGTCGAAATATGAATATTGTCTTATTTCTAAGTTCAAATTACAGCTAAAAAGTCAAAATAAAGTTATTAGATAATGATAGTATTTGAAAAATGAATTACTAAATTTTAAATAAATTCGAGTTTAGTTTAGTTTGATGAAGATAACTAATGATACTACAATCCTTGAAAAATTTACTTTGCTCATTAATCTCTAGGTACTTGCATTCAACTCTTTAATCAGAATTTAAATACTGTATATCACCTTTCAATCGGATCAAATATAACGACGTAGTGAAAGATAGAAAGGTTTGAAATTTTTGACTGCGTTTGGCGATCGAAGCATAAACTATATAATGGTAGTCTTTCATTGAATCAATAGCGTGAAATTGAATAACTGTATCTTAAAGATGACAGTCTAATCATTATCAAGAAGTATTTATAGTGTTAATTAACATCAACTATCGCTTACAAAGGACTCGTATTTTATTTATCGATATAATAATAAGTTAAAGATGGTTGCACGAAATATTAATGATCCACAGAAGAGTTAAAATTATGATATAGATAAATTTACGTACTGGGAAAGTGCAAGATTAGATTCGTAGCCAAATAGAAATTTACTTTTTTCTGCTTACACTATAGTTATTTAACCCATTTTAAATTAATAAATAAATTTATATTTCTAGTAATTAGAGTTACTTTTAGTAGTTTTAATTGATCAAATCCAGTGCTACATTAGATTATCGTTCCTATTTAAATATTATGGCTAGGGTTAGGGCTAGAGTTAAGTATGAAAAAGAATTTTTCTAAATATATATTTTCACTCTTGTTAGCTATAGCTAGATAGTTAATAAGATACTTTAATTAAAATTAAAAAAAGTAGTAAAAGCAAGAAAGTTTTGATAGTTTTCGAATTAAATCCGTAAGTTACAGTAATCTTTCACGCTAAATTCTTCAGCTTTTACTTAATCAATTATAATATCTCAAATATGAATTCTATTACTCATCAGGAAAGCTTATGATATCAAAGACGAATCAGAACGAATCTAGTAAAATGTAGCTTTGAATTTAGCGATGCTTTTAAGCTGCTCATCGTATAATTATTGCTCGGTGTCAGTTATAGATTTAACACGTTATTCTTAAATTAAATACAACTGATAGCTTATGGCGGTAGGTTATTCTTTATCTCTTCAATATGACTGCATTAGTTATATTGAAAAACAAAGAAGTCCCTATAAACCATAACTGTATAATTATATAAATTTCATACCATTTTAATTTACTATCATCAATTCTACAATCATGTTTCTTGGTAAGATTAAAGTTAATAAATAAGTTATAGCAAACAAATTTCTCACCTCATAGAGATCCCTTGCCTTAGTATTCGCCACGGCAAAGCCAAGGCTAACTAATGAATTATTAACGGCATTGCTTGTTGTAGATTTTGATCTTTTCTGCTGGTCGCTAACTTTAACAAACATAGTATTAATACCATGTTCGATAGTTGAAGAGCGATTCATGTTTTTCTTTGATCCCCAACTGGGAAATTTCCACCTATTAATAAATCGAACATTATGGCGATCCGGCTCGTCATCGACGTTTTGATCAAAAGCCTTGATCTTGGAAGTTTTTTTCATGATTTATACTTCTTCTGTATACAAGTAGCAGAATTTACAACAATGCGGCACTCATACAGTTAAAATGATTTAATTAAAATCAATCTCGAATTTTGGCTGAAGTTGCGTTATTTCAACTTTTCCAATTTACTTGTCAGAATAAATAAGATAGGAAGCGGGATTAAGCCTGATTTTGATCTGCTTACAGATTATTTTTATAATCAATCGGTAAGGTAGTAACTATAAATAATGCGTTATGGTAATGGCGCTACAGCCAAGCAAACCTTTAAAGGCTACTTTATAGCATGTTCTATAGAAACAGGCAAGTCCAGTTTCGGTGTGCAATCGTTGACAAAAACAAGTAACACAGCCACGATTTAGTTGGCTAGAACTAAAATATAATAGATAGGCAGCATTCATGATTTCATTGCGTCATAATTTTGATGTCTTTCTATCATTATACTACTATATCATGTTTAATCTAGTAAGCAATCATGACTTGCAATTTCTATTGTATGAAATGCTATTCAGTTATCTTGC